ATATATATATATATATATATATATTTAATAGAGGTCTCTAATACTCACTATACCAAGGCTACATTTATTTGATCAACTATATAGTAAAATAAGTAACATGTAATTTATTCGTATGATGCCAAAGCTACATTTTCAGCATCATTATTCTAGTCTTCAGTCACACGATCCTTCAGAAATAATTCTAATATCCTGATGTGGTGCTCAAGAAACATGTCTTATTATTATCAATGCTGAAAACAGTTGTGCTGTTTAATAATTTTGTGGAAACCGTGATACACATTTTCCTTTTTCAGGATTCTTTAAATAAGAGAAAGTTCAAAAGAACAAATTATTTCGTAACATTATATATCTCATTTGCTTTTGATCACGTGTCCTTTATTTCAAAGAAAAATCTTACTGACCCCAAACATTTGAATGGCAGTGTAAATATCACTAACAATATCATGTTTCTTTTCCATAAATGTTCACTTAATGACAAGTTACAAGTTATAATGATATATTTTTCTCATTTAACACCCAAAATATTTAACATTGGTCTCCAATTCTAAAATAAGTGTATTTGAAAGTTATGCCTAAAATTATGTCAACTAACAAAGGTTTTACCTCCATGACAGACACGTCCTGCTCTGTCTGAAAGGGGTTTGACTGAGCAAGTGTCATCAGCTTTTGGGAGCTGCAGCCCTCCACTTCTCCAGCCAACAGTAGGAGTTTTTCCCAAAGAGAAAAGCCAGCTTGAAGGTTGTCCAGATGACAGTCTGTCTTCTCAGTCACCTGAAATAGTAGGTTAATTCCAATACTGTACATTATTTGAGACAGAGAGTGTGAAATTTTACATTACTGAGGGAACATACATCAAGCCAGCGGTCCATGAGGGAATCAGCCTCACTCTCAAATGGAGTGTCAGCACAGTCTGGGATCCTTGTCATCAGAGACTGCAGCTGCCGACACACTGCTCTGAACTCCTCCACCCCGTCACCAAGACCGCTGAGATCTGACTTTAAACTGGTCACCTGCACACACATACACAAAATATAAATAGGCATGCATTTATTCATTCTCACTCTGACTCCAGTTTTATCTAATGATGTTATACAGGTGCATCTCAATAAATTAGAATGTCATGGAAAAG